AAATAAAGATGGGGTTTGTTTAATTTTACCTGAATTTTGTGATTTTTGAGCTTTGAGTCAGTAAAAGCTGGTTGATTTGAAATATGAACACAATCGATTATATCTCCATCGGGGCTCTGACTTCTATAATTAATACCAAATGTTATTTCAACCAGTTATGAAAATAAAAGTATAAAACATGCAAAGTTTCATCATTATCTAAGTACACATATTCAAGAAAGAAAAACAGACATGATTAATTTGTTAAATATGTTATAATCAATAACATGATCCACCATAGCCTAATACACAAGATTAAACCAGAAATGTAATTCTTGTTCTTTCACCTATTGTTAAAGACACTGATGAGAAATAAAATGAATATTCAGATAAAGTTCAAACAAAAGTCAAGTACAGTAGTTATAAAAATCGTTTACCTTTATAGATTTAACTGCTGGTCTGTTCAACTTCTTAAAAAGCTTCTGAATCTCAAGATTCTGGTAATTAGAACTACCATCCCTGCCTTTGTCTGTTATCGCCATGGATACAGAAAACAGAAAGAAGAAGCATAACACATTCCCCACCCAAGTCTTGGCTTCTTCTGATTCTGTTGCCATTGAAGGACCTTCGTAAGAATTCTCAAATCGATATGTTTAGGATTTGAAAGGTCATGGATTTATGAGATGTCCTCCACCATTCAAAAGTGAAGTTATTTAATTTTATGATTCGACGGGATTTAATTAACACCTTTGCAAAAGTGCCTCTGGTATCATTTAAGGATACGTTATAATAATATTTAATAACCAATATCCATAATAATCAATTCCATAATCTTGCTGATCAAAGACATTACAATAATATATATGCCTCTATATGGTTTATTGATTATATTTCGTTTTTATTCTTTTCAAAACGGGACTGGTTGTTAAACTAACCGATTCAATGGTTTAAGGTTCGTTATTTCTTTTCTTTTTTTCCCGTTTGTTCAGTTGGATGGTTGGTTTGTTTTGTTTGTTAGGCTTGTATCTTTTACCTTGCTGTCATGGGGCGGGCCTTTTCTGTTGGTTATTTTGAACCCTGGTTGAATGGTTATTGAATTTGGTGGGAGTCAAATTAACGTACTTTTTATATCAAAACGTAGCATATAATTTTGTAATTAAAATGTTTATAAAGCTGAAAAAAGCTTGGCAGAAGTGTATCCTTAATCTTTTGACTTTATATAAGGCTTCATTTTGATTTCTTAATTTTATAAAATATCTTTTTATTGTTCTAACATTAATGCCATTAACAGAAAATGCTCACATTGAAATTTTAACTGTTGACAGATGTCAAGTTTAATTTTTAAAAATAGTACTAATTGGCATAAAAAATCATCATTTGAGACTGATATTGTCGGATTAGAGAATTACAAAGATAATTTTATAAAATTAAAGAATTAGACTAAAATTTTATATCAAATTAAAGGATCAAATGTATGTTTATAGTCCTCCATAATCTCAAATCTCAAATTAGACTTAAAAAAATGGCAGCAAATAAACTCTATAGCATCCATTAAGTAAATTTATAATCATTAATAATTAAGCGCAATACTTTTAGATTTGATAATGCCTCAATTAATCCTTGAAGGATAGGTGATATTCTTGAAGTGTTGGGACTGATTGATTATTAGGTTGGAATTTGAGGGATTGGAAGAGTTTAAATTTCAAGAATCAAATTATAATTGAGTCCACGTTACAGGAAGTAAATGATTATTTTTTCCCAAAAAAAACACTAACTAAACTTATTTCAGAAAATATAATATCAAACTAATTTTTAATTTCTCACGTGCTTACCTGCGCTATACTCTTTTTTTTTTTTTTTATTGATTTGGAAAATCAGGTGAATCCAGAGCTGCATGGAGATAATAACACAAGGCTTTTCACATTTTGGACAGTAAGTTAAACTTGAAATTGTAGTTTCTTTGAGTCATAATCTTCAATATTGTTAATTTCACCATTTCATTTTACACTTGACTCAGGTTGATGCAGGTCAACACACTGGATGCTATAATCTTCTTTGTTCTGGCTTTATTCCAGTTAACAATGAAATAGCCCTGCGAGGCACCATAGAACCATTGTCTGTCTTTGGTGATAATAATTCCCGATATGAAATCACCATTGTCATCTGGAAGGTACCAACTTGGAAAGAATCTCTATTTCCATTCATGGGATGGACATACGTGAGTTTCCATTTAGTGAGACAAACATCTAATTCAGACACTAATTTGTTCACTTTAGTAAAACAATATTGATTTGATCGATTTATGTTTTGATGATGAGCAGGATCCGAAGCAAGGAGATTGGTGGATGTCTTATGGGAATGATACATACGTGGGATACTGGCCAGCGCTCTGTTCTCTCGCCTCTCTGAGAGTGCAACAAAGATAATGTGGTGAAGTGAAGCTGTGAACTCACAATCTAATGGACAACGCACCACAACACAAATGGAAAGGGGCCATTTTCCTGAAGAAGGTTTTGGGAAAGCTGGCTTTTTCAAGGAAATTAGAATTGTTAATGGCAAAAATCAAGCCATCCCTCCTAATAACATTCGCACTTACACTGACCAATCCAACTGCTACAATGTCCAACTTGGTACTTCTGATAACTGGGGCAAGTACTTCTTTTTTGGTGGTCCGGGGAGAAGCCCTGGTTGCCCATGGTCTTTCCTCTTGAAAACTGATTAGATATATCAAAAGGAAAAGAAGGGGGAAAAAAAATAAGTAACTTTACGTTGTTATTCTTGGAAGCTTTTTCACTTTTTTAGTTCTTTACTAGTAACTAATGCCTCAAGTAAGCTTATTTTTATATATGTTGAATTATATGTATCTTTTATTTACCTGAGCGGAAATACATGTACTATAACCTTGTCTTTATCATCATATCCCTTGGCCATTTTAGTTTGCTTGTGTCTATTCGAAAGTCAAATCAGAGGCACAAGTTGAGAGAAACTTGTTAATACTCTGTATAATTCACATCCCACGCCTAATATTCCCTCCATGGCTTCTTCACGAATAAAGTGTAAGTCAAGCTCAAAGTGCTTGGACTTGTTATGCAGAACAGGATTGGCAGCTAAGGCTACCGCGCCAGAATTGTCACACCAAATGGTGGGAGTACGAATCAGCTGATTATTTATCTCTTTTAACACAGCCATAAGTCAAAGAACATCTGTAACAGAATCTGCAACATTTCCGTCGCTAATTTTTTTGACGGATTAGCAACAGAAATTTTTTGCCACTAATATTAGCGACAGATTAGCGACGGAATTTTTGTCCGTCACTAATCCGTCAAAAAATCCTTAGCAACAGAATTTTTTCTGTCAGAAATTTTTGTTACTAATTTCATCACTAAATTGTTTGTCATAGAAGTTTTTATCACTAATTCTGTCGCTAATTCTATTCCGACACAATTTTGTCGCTAATCCATCACTAGTTTTAAATTATAATCTTACAAAAATTTATATAATAACAATTAAGAATATAATAATTTAAAAACATTTTTAATTATAAAATAAATTGATATATTTGTGGAGTTGGTGTTAATGAAGATATCACCATCATTCATATCATCATTAGGTATATACTGAAAATAGAAAGACAATTTCTTAGAAAACTTGTTTATATTTCATTAAAATAAATGCCTCTTGATTATTAATAATAATCAAAAAATATAATAAGAATATTAATAAATTTTTTATACAAACTGATATAAGAAAGAAATAATTTTATCATATGTACAATATATTGAAATATATAATATATGATAGAAATTCAAAACTAAAAAATGAATTTATATGAAGGTAAACTAATATTGAAGTGAATTTTGAATTTCAATCATTAAACAATAAAATTTAATTATGATATAATTAATACCCATGATATAGATAAGATTTTTTGACTAATTGTAAATGACTTTCTTCAAATATATAAAACACATATAGATAATATAATATAATGTAATATAATACATATATAATTAAATTGTATATCTTATCAATGTTAATTAGAAAATAAATTTTAAAAAATATTTATAAAAAATTATTTATGATTTAAAATTCAAAATTAGTGTCATTAGAAATTAAAAATATTTTAAAAATATTTTTTTAAAAATAAAACATTATAAAACAAATGGTAAAAAAATATTTAAAAATTATTTCGTCATTAAAATTGTTATGATTAAAATTATCATATAGTATATTTTTAGTTTTTAATAATATATATGTATATATAATTGTTTGTGTAAAATAATATTATATATATTTTTAATTTTACATAATAAGTCAACAGTTTCATTACAGCTCAACTGGTAAAACCGCACACGTGCACAGAAGAGGTCCTGGGTTCGAGCCATGGAGAAGTCAATTTGAGGAGGGACTTATATGGTGGCGACACGTGACAGGCAAAGGTGACATGTGATTGGTAGAGGTGGTCACCAGTGATGACGTGACGATTGGTAGAGGTGCCACATGGCATTTTATTTTATTTTTTTAAAAAAAACTGGGTTAGCAATGGATTTGCGACGGAAATTTCTGTGAAGAGCGCTAATCAAATTCTATCGCTAATCTGTTTTCGTCGCTAATCCATCATTAAATTCCGTCACTAAAAGCATGTTATTTTGTAGTGAGTTATGCCTTTTAATTTCATTTATAAAAAAAAGTTATGCCTTTTAATGCACTTGTTTTGTCTCACTAACCCTTTTCTCACTCCACGAGTCTTGTTTTGTCTCACTAACCTTTTTCTCACTCCACGAGTACTCCTTAATTACTAGGTTAATTCAAAGAACTCGACATAATCAAAAGCAATTGATATAACTAAGGGAACAATACATAAGGGGAAAAAAACATTTGAAATAACTAAGGGAACAATAAAGAATGAAAGTCGTCTTCTTATTCGCAAAAAATCTTGATTAGGAAAAAAGAAAACTAGTAATACAAAGATCTGCATAATGATCTCTCTCTCTCTCTCTCTCTCTCTCTCTCTCTCTCTCTCAAAGGCAAGCAAGATTTCTTCCTGGACCACCAAAATAGAAGTAGGCTCCAAGTTCATCATTAGAAGATGCCATTTTCACATTGGAGCACTTGACATGGTCAGAGTAAGTGGCAACACCATTAGGAGGAGGCACAGATTGGTTTTTCCCGTTCACAATTGTAATGTTCCTGAAATAACTTGCTCTCCCTTGAGCTTCCCCAGCAAAATGTCCACTTCCCATTTGTGTTGTGCTGTGTTTCCCATCTTCAGATGCTAAGTTTAACACTTCACCTCCCCACAGTATCGTCGTTGCCCCATCAGAGAGGCGTCCAAACAAAGACGATGGCCAATATCCCACGACCATATCTCCCCCATATTGCATCCACCAATCTCCATTGATTGGATCCTAAATATATCGGATGAAACATATATATCAGATTCAATTATGCATGAAACGAAGCTGAAATCCCTCTGATGTGAGAAAACAACCGTGTTATATTTCTATCAGAATGATGAGATTGATGTAATCTGATATGAAAAGAGAGTTGGGTACCTTCCAAATAAGGATGGTCATGTCAAATTGGGATTTAAGGTCGCCATAGACAGACAATGGTTGGATGGAGGCTCCCACAGCTACTCCATTGTTAAGCTGAACAAAACCAAGAGAATGATCTGATGAAACTACAATTTGGATTGTGAATTGACAAAGCTGAACTCACTGTCCAAAATGTAAAAAGTCTGGTGTTATTATCTCTATATGGCTGTGGATTCATCTAATTTTCCAAATTAAAAAACAAAAAACAGAGAGAGGGAGAGAGAAACTCAGGTGAGCACATCAGAAATGAGAAGTTTATTGGTTGATGATATGTAATATATTTGGATATAATCTTTTTAGAAAGAAATTAAAGGATATATACCTGCCAGCCAGCTTGAATGCTATCGTAACCTTTACTAGTATTGCCGTTTTTTATCCACAATTGAGAGTTACTAAATTCGTTATGCTTTTCAACTATGGGTTTCCAAATGTTCATGGATGCCTTGCCTCCATAATACTTATCTCCCGTCACATAAACTGTGGCAAACTAGATGTTCCAAAATCATCAAAGAAGCAATGGAAGAAAAATACACTAATAAGTAAGCATAAAACTGAAGAAACTACATTAGTTTACATGTATTTACAGGAACCAGAGGTTTTTGTGTTTAAATTCAGAGATACGCGCACAGTGGCAACAGTATATGTACCTGGTGCTGAGCTTCAGTTTTAAAAGATGTAAACTCAGGAATGCTCTTGTGGTTCTTCTTCCCGAATCTTTGGATAGACTCTGCTCTTAAGATGTCTTCTTCTTTTATTCTTCTTATCGGAATGGTTCCTTCTGGGCAACTTCCGCTTTGGTGCCACAACTGAGAAATTGGCTTTTGCCTTGAAGATGATGCTTCATTTTCTTCAAACATCATTCCTTCTGGATGAAAACTCGGTTTCATCTTCATAAAATGAGAGATAATTAGCTTGTGAATGAGAGAAACCTTTGGTTCGGTGAAAAAGAAAAGAAACTTGAAGCAAATTATGTTCACCTGAATTTTGTGATCCCTGAGCTTCGAATTTTGAAAAGCTAGCTGATTTAAAATATGAACGCAATCGATTATATCACCATCAGGGCTCTGATTTTGAAACACCAACGGTTAGCCCAATCAATTATAAAATATAGAATGGCAGAGAACTGTTATTTGTCAAATTGAAAATTCATTTAAGAAAAAAAAAAGACTTGCATGTATACGACCTTGATAGACTTAACAGCTGGTCTGTTCAACTGGTTCATAAGCTTCCGAATCTCAAGATTCAGAACAGAACCGCCATTCTTGTCTTGGTCTGATATCCCCATAGGTACAGAAAACAAGATGAAGCAGAATAAGACATAGTTCTTTACCCAGTAAGTATTATGATCTCCGAAGTTTGCCACTATTGAAGTTGAGGAAATATAAAAAAAGCTAAGCTAAGATAGCTCCTTTGTGAGAATTCTCAAGTCGGTGTTGGAGAATTGAAGGCTCAGAAATTTATAGGATGTCTGTGTGCGTAGTTTCTTGAATTTGAAGTTACTCTATGACTCGACCAAATTCACTTACCAAAATGAGTTTAACTACAAAAATGGGAAAGCAGCGTTATTTAAGGAAATTTTTTTATATTGTAATTATAAATAATTATAAGGTTGGCAAAAAAATTATAAATAATGATAAGAATAAATTACATAATCTCTTTTGAGGTTTGCTTTATATATTGTTCAAAAGTAATAATTTATTACCGTATTTCTTAAGATTTGCTTATAATAATTATAAGAATAAATTCTCTGTTTTTTTTTTTTTGGCCAACAATAAGAATAAATTACCTTAGTCTTTATTAACATGTGGTAACTGTTAACCGTTAACACACACAAAATAGAACAATAGGATCTAATATTTAATAGGAAGAATTACAATCAAATTCTAAGGAAGGGAAATGATTGTTAAAAGGTCCTAATAACAAATTGAACTTGTAATGACAAATTTTTAAGTGGAGGACAACAACTTCTGGGACTATTTTGTAATTTTTTTTCTCTTGAAATCTCATAGTAATTCTCCCTATTTAATAATTACAAGATTTCGTAACTTAAATAAAAATAGAAAAAATCTCACAAAAATATCCTGAAAATTACTAAATTATAAATAAAAAAAATTTATACTTTAATAGGTTTAATATTTTGACTATACTTGACCTGCAAATAATAACAATTTTTTATAAGAATTTTTCATTTGAGATTTAGTAATTTGCAGATTTTTTTTTTGGTTTTCTTAAGAAAATATACCAATTAACGCACCAAAAAAAATCCAATATAAGGGAATGTTTTACTTTTATCGGGGTTCATTATTGAAGCGCATGTTATCTTTCCTTTTTTAAAAGAAAAAGAATCATTGAGAGCATTACAACGTGTTTAAAAAAAAAACTTATCCATTATACTCCTCCGGTCCTTAATATAAGATCTATTTAACTAATTGGATTATATTAACGAAGTTAGATAAGTTAGTTAATTATAAGAAATATGACATGTTTTTCCTAAAATATCATAATCATCTTCTTGAATATCCTCCTTTCCTCTTCTACTTGATTATGGTTGAGGGAGTATCATAGGGATGATTTAGAAAAAATTGATAAATATGATAATAGGTCTTATATTTAGAACCAAAATTAACTCAATAATTAGGTCATATATTAAGGATCGGAGGAGTATTGATTTTCCCTAATTACCGTTACCTTTATAATTTTTTTTTCCTTTTCCATTGCCCTTTTTCAAATTTCTTTTTTTTTTTTATCGACAAAGTCTTTTTTTTTTCAACTTCAATTTTTCCTTTTCCCTTTAAACAATTCGTCATATTCTAATAGATCGAAGAATTTTACTGAAAGATTGCAGTGGTAAGACATGCAAGTAGATTAAGCTTTAAAATACAAATAACATAATCAATAGGACACGTCCACGGATTCACCGATATACTAATGCTGTATTATATTCTCATCCAGAATGTACGAAGCATTTGAGACCAAACAAGAGGATCGAGGAAAATATGAGATCTTTGATAGAAATTCTAATAAAACCTTAAAACCACTATACAACATTAAGGGCAACTAGGGTTTCTGCCAGGACCGCCATAATAGAAGAAAGTGCCCAATCGACGAGAAGAGCCGGTTTGGATAGAATAACAGTTGGAATTATCAGAGTAAGGCGTAATGTTAGTAGGACGCACCAATTGATTTTTGCCATCAACAATTTTGATGTTGTTGAAATAGCTTGCTTTGCCATATCCTTCTCTAGGAAAATGCCCACTTCCCATTTGTGTTCTTGTGTGTTGTCCATTAGATTCTGAGTTTATTATTTCACCTCCCCACTCCATCAATGATGCACCATCAGAGAGGTGTGTGAATATGGATGAAGGCCAATATCCCATAACTTTGTCCGCTCCATATTGCATCCACCAGTCTCCATTGAGTTTATCCTTTTTATTGTCAGCATCAAATCATTAACAAGCTATACTATTCACAAGCTATATACTCCTCCGATCTTAAATGTAGAAGCTAGCATCGATTTGTTCTTAAAGATATAATACTCCAATTCACTGTCTCCAAAAGTCTCCAAACCGTCTCTATTAATAGCACTTATTAAGGGGATTTCCATTAGAGATAGTTTCTAATACAAATGATTAATTAAAGGGCATTTTAAGAAACTAACACATTTCTAATTGATAACTAACTTAATTTTTTTCAGTCTTTATAAATTAGTTATCAAGGTCCTACTTTTAGGATCGGAGGAGTATATGAGCACATGATCCATAAAATATATTGAAAACGGTACCTTCCATATGAGGATCTTGATTTCATATTGGGATTTAGCATTCCCATAGGAAGATAATGGCCAGATTGTGGATCCTACAGCTACTCCGGCATTGAGTTGAACAAAGCCAGAGCATAGGAGATTATAGCATCCAGTATCTCTATATGAATCAGTCTGTTGCATTACAATAATAATTAAGACTGTGATTCGGACAAACAAAATGCAGGGTTGCGAATAAATTTGAACTTACAGTCCAATATGTGAATAGTCTGGTGCGATAATCTCCAAACAGTTCTGGACTCACCTAATTGTTTGAGTTTGAGAGAAATGGGGGATAATTAGATACAATTGATATATAGAGACAACTGATAACAAGGAAAAATATCTAAACATGTTTAAGCATAAAATATTTAGTACCATCCAACCGGCTTCAATAGTGTTGAGATTTTGACTATCATCATTATTTACGACCCACATTTGAGAGATACTAAATTCATCGTTTTGTTGAACATTAGGCTTCCAAACGTTCATGGTTGCGCTCGCACCATAATATCTATCACCTCTCGTAAAAGCTATGGCATACTGAAAGGCAACAAAGCCATCAAAGCAACAAAAAATAGGGGGGAAATCATGAAATAAGCAAAACGAAACGTAAAAATAAAATCTTGTAGTTTATTTGATAGAGGCATAACATAAGTATACCTCATGGCCAACGTTCGGTGCTGTTGGAGGGATGTTCTTGGGATTCTTCTTTCCAAATTGTTGCACAGAACTTGCTCTCAATATGTCTTCTTCTCTTGTCCTTCTTATAGGAATGGTTCCCCCTGGACAAGTTCCATTTTGGTGCCATAGTTGAGGAATTGGTGCTGATTTTGAAGACACATTATTACTTTCTTCCATTATCGTCCCTTCTGGGTAAGAACTTGGCCTCATCTAAAGCCAAATGAGAAATAATTGATTGTATCTACCATCAAAATTCTGGATTAGAGGACTAGTAAAACACAAAAGGAAAGTATTCTTACCCGAATTTTGTGATTTTTAAGCTTTGGGTGATCAAAAGCTGGTTGTTTTAAAATATCAACACAATCGATTATATCTCCATCAGGACTCTGTATGTTTTAAGTACCCACCAAGTTCAAACACATAATTAAAAAGGAAAATAATGCTAGTTGATTGGCAATTGGCTCAATATATAGCATTGAAGTTGTTACACAAACACACCCACTCATACACACACACGCGGGCGCGCACACACCTGAATAGATTTAACAGCTGGTTTATTCAAATTCTTCAAAATCTGCTCAACCTCGAGCTTCTGAGTAGAACTAGCATTACTGGCTGGGGCACCAATGAAGGAGTCTCGGCTTGCCATGGTGATAGGTAATAAAGCAAACAAGAAGAAAGAATAAAATATCATTTTTGCCTTCCAAGTCCTCTCGTTTCCCAATTTTAACGCCATTAATTATTGAATGTAAGAAATAAGAAGGAAGAACAAAACGAGAATTCTCTAATGAATATACGAGAACCGTGTTTGCAAGAATTTATAGGATGCTTCGAATTACCCCTTTTTAAATGTTAGATTACCTTCTTATTCTTTTTGTTGCGAGATTTCGATGACATGATGATGCATTATCCAGGTTACAAAGAAAACCGAACAACTCAAAAGGTTGGTTTTTGAGGTTGCTTTTACTTGTAATATCCTCGCTAATAATTTTAGTAAAACGGTAATAATGCTAGAGTTACCAAATATTAATTTTCCCTCTATTTTAAGTTTGTTGTCGCCCTATTCTAACAGAAAACTGTCAATTTATTGTGATTTATGCATTATATTGATAACATGGTAGGTTTTTTTTGTGAGAGATTATATGGTATCCTCCACGGACAATCGAAGGGCTAACTTTTCTCTTTTTCTTTTTTCTTTTTTCAAGAAAAAAATCATAATCTGATTTAAACATGATATTTGAAGTCAAATTTTAAATATACACAACCAAATCAAATATAAAAACATATTTCAAATATACAAAATCAAATAAAAAATCCACAAAAATTTCAAATATAAAATCAAATGAAATCCCCTTTTCAAATTTTGGATGCACTGTCAAAGGCCAAAACTTTATGAGCAGCTACACGTTCAAATTTGAAAAAACCTTCTTGAGCTACATGTTGCCTGCAATGTTAAACTACTGCGGCAATTATATCGGCAAGCGTTGACAATACCATTTATTAATGTCTTATTGATACAAGAGCTTGGTAAAGTGCACAACGGGGGTTGCTACTTGTTACAGTTTGTGGGTTGGCCGGTGTGGGTTGGTATTTTGTAAACACAAACCCGCTTGAAGGGGGTCGATAAATTGGCCAACCAAACAATTACTTTTTTTATAAGTATTTTAAAATGTTTTTTTAATATTTGTAGTTGGATTAATACAAACTTTGATCTTTTAATTTACTTTCATTTTGATTTTGGTCTCTCAAGTTTCCTTTCATTTAAAATATTGGTTCCTATAATCCACTTGGAAGCACTTCGGAAGGAATTAAAGATCAAGGTTTCTAAAGAATTATATTATGGTGATCAAAGAAGAACAAATAGAGGCCAAATCATAGGTAGAACTCCTCATTTGAGCTAGAAGTGCAAAACTTTCCAGAGGCAAAATGAGCTGCGGCGCAAAATTTTTAGGCCACAACGCATTCATTGATAGCAAAATGCACAATTCAACTAAGCTCGAAAATTATAGGTTTTAAGCCTCAAAACTCGACTTTGGCCGCCATTCTTCAAATCTGGGTGGTTCTTGGGAGTATTTGGCTGTGCTAGGGCTTGCTTCTTGGAGGAGATTGAGCTAGGAGTTGGAGTTTTGAAGAGATTTGGGCTTTTTTCCTTGGTTTTTCCTCTCTATCTTGCTTTCTCTACTCTTGTTTCATGTTTGTGCTGATATAGATGTATGTTTACATGGATTTTCTAAGTACGTGTGGCTAAATACTTTGATTCTAGGATGATTTTGAACTTTTGTATGGATTAAGTACTCATTTCCCCTATATATTTGTGATTAATGATATGATTGTGTTGATTTTACTCTATGCTTAGTGCTTCTTGTTGATTGGCCACCAATGAGATTGTTGGGTTCTCTTGATTGATGCTTCAGAGGGCTAGATTGAGTGTAGAACTTGGGTTTAATTGTGTGAGAATTTGAAATTTGCGAGTTGGATGGATGGTTTTGTTAATGAGATAGAGATATACTCATTAACCTCACATAGTCACATAAGGTTTGCAATTAAAATTGGGGCTTAATTAATTAATTAAGAGATTAAGGAATTAATTGAGCCAAAGACCTATTTGGAGACTTGAGAGAGCACTTATAGGTAATTTAATGTCCTTGGCTAGCATAATCTATAATTAAGAAGCAAATACAATGGGGATTTAATTGAGTACTTTTGAAATATAAGGGGGATAAATAATCCTAGGTCCCTTTGAATCATTGGAATTGAAGAATCACTTTTTCTTTTTATTAATTTTTAATTTTATAAATAGTAGCTTTCACTCTTGATATTTGTGTTACTCAAATTAAGCGAAAGTGTGATAATCAATATTTGACTGAGTTTTGAAACCAAATCCTCATGGGAACGATACTCTACTTATCACTTTATTACTTGTGACAACCCATGCACTTGTGTTGCGAACAGGAACCTTAATTACTCTTATAGGACCTGAGTATTTATCCACTGTATTAAACATGCTTAGACTATTCACAAAATGACGCGTTGCACCAGAGTCAAGGATCCAATTAGATTCACAAAATGACCTAGGGACAGCAAGAACTATACCTAAGATGGTTTCCTCCAGATAGTCAGTTATGCCTACTGCTATATCATCTTGTTCCTTTTGTAGGATTCTCAATATTTGATCATATTGTTCTTGGGTGAGAGGCATCTGACTTGGTGAAAGAGAAGGTGAAGATGAGATGGTGGTAATGGTAGTAGGATTATAAGGTTGTCTCCCTTGAAGATTGGTGGGAAAACTAACCAACTCATAACAATTTTCTCTTTTGTGGCCTTTCTGATGACAATGAGAACATTCTTCAAAGGATCTACCTCTTCCTCATCCTTGGCTCCTGCCTTACCTTCCACCATGAGCTGCCATAGTGCCATTGTCAAAAGAAGAATTACTGGTGTAGGTAGAAATATATTGTTGAGACTCATCCGGACAAATCATAGAGTAGGCTTGACTGATTATGGGAAGTGGTGACTGAAGAAGGATTTGTGTTCGAGCCTAATGAAAATTGTTGTTCAGGCTCGTTAGGAATTGAAAGAGTCTTTGTTGTTGAATTGTCTTGGTATATTCTTGAGTGGTGTCACATTTATAGGTAGGTAGTGGCATGATAGCATCAAATTCATCCTAGAGGTCCTTAAGCTTAGTGTAATATTCAGATACACTCATAGTACCTTGGGTCATGGAATTAATCTTCTTGTGTAGAGCAAAAATACACATACCATCTACCTTGTGAAAGTGATCCTTTAAGTCTAACCACACCAATCTTGCACTGTTAGAGAAGACTATGCTAGTAGCTATCTGCTTGTCCACCGAATTGACAAGCCAAGATAGCACGATTGCATTACACCTATTCCAGAGATCATGAAGGTTGGCATCTTGATTGTCTCGGGTACACGTTCCATCGATAATTCCCATTTTGTTCTTGGCAAGAAGGGCAAGCTTGATCGATCGACTCCAGACTTCATAGTTGTCAGCTCCCTGTAGCACTTGAGATACTAAGATCACAGATTGAGTGTCCGACGAGTGAAGATATAGAGGCTAGGTGAAGTCTATGAGAGAGTATGTGTTTGCTACTATATCATCTTTTTTATCCATATTAATTTAGTAAAATTTGAAATTGGGACGTAGGGCGATCAATTTGGGAAGAAAGGAAGAGATGATAAGAACAAAAGGCACAAGAATGGTTCTTTATCGAAAACTCTCATTAGAGATGCATGTGATGACAGAGGTGACAATTTTTGAGATTGAAATCTCAAGAATGGTAGTCAACAGATGCTTGAAGAAATGGCAACTACTTGAAGGAACAACAATTAGGGCTACCCACGATATAGAGAATGGGCATAGCAATTAAACTACATGACGATGTTGTCGTGGATATCGGTGGTATGTGTACTAATCAGAGTGTCTCCAAGAATTGGGCTATTTTGCTTGTGAGGCCATTTGAACCTGCTACTAAATACCATGTAAAGAACTAGATAAACTGAATACTACTCATATTATTGATGAAGGCCACATGGCCATGAATTTCAATACACATAATAATAGACTTTGTGACTCTCATTTATAGGCTACAGTGCCCAACGTAACTAACTCAGGCCCATTTACAAAACTAGATATGACACCTCTTAACACCTAATTTTTACTATAAAACAATTATCAGAGATATTTGAGTCTAATTCAATAGTATAACAGTTAATATCATCAAGGACCCTTGTGGAATCATTAAAGATACGAGTTCATCACTACACAGATGCTTGGAATTTGATTTTTTACACAAGGCACTTGTGCCACCCGCAGTCACTGCAAAAATCTTGACTTTAGTTGCCGCTGAAATTTTTTAGCGACAATAAAAAGTCGTCACCAAGTATTTGCTACAGCGGCCATCATTGATATGTTCTAGTGGCAACAAATTGAGTTGTCGCTAAAAGTATAGTTAATTATCTAATTTTTTTTAAAAAATTATTGAACAGAATTTACATTATGTTATCAATTTTTATTATTTTAAATTTTTAATTATAAATTTACATTATGAAAATGGAATATTATTACCTTACTTTATTTTTTTCATAAAATAATGATACATTTAATGTTTTGAGATGTCAAATATTGTATTTAAATAAAAAAATTATATTTATTGGTGAGAAAAAATAGTTGTAAAAAGTCACACTTTGAGTGGTGATTCTAAAAGTGTGACTTTCAGCGGCGACAATTAAAGTCGCACCTAAACCTCATACTTCCAACGGTGATTTTAAAAAGTTGCCACTGAAAGTATGACTTTCGGCGACATTAATTGAAGTCGTAGCTTAAAGTCACTTTCTTTTGATCATTTGTAAATTGTTAAAATTTATTTCATCAATTGTATTTTATATAGACAAATACATACAACATTATCTATCAAATTAGTAGAAAAATTATTTTTAAGTAGACACTAAAACTAATAAAAGAATTTATATATGTACTCCTTCAGTCTTTAATGTAAGATCTAATTAACTAATTTGAGTAGATTAAGGATATTAGTTAAATTAGTTAATATGATGTGTTTTTTCTAAAACACTTCAAGCATCTTTCTCAATTCCATGCCCCCTCTCCTACTTGATCATTGTTGAGGGAATATTAATAGGGTTAATTTGAAAAAAAATTGATAAACATATGAAATAAGTCTTACATATATGACTAACATCAACTTTTTAATTAGGCCCTATATTAAGAATAAGAAGAGTATATATAGTACATAATTGTAAATATATAATACATTTTAATTAAAGTATTGATTTAAACATAAATTCTATGAAAATGAAATATTATTACCTTATTTTATTTTTTTCATCATAAAATGATACATTTAATGTTTTGAGATGTTAAATATTATATTTGAATAAAAAAATAGATTTGTTGGTGAAAAAAAATAGTTGTAAAAATTCAAATTTTTAGCGGTGACTCTCAAAGTTTGACTTTCAGTGGCGACAATTGTCGCCACTTAAACTTACGCTTTTAGCTACGACTTTTTCTGAAACTTACGCTTTTAGTTGCGACTTTTTAAAGTCGTTGCTAAAACTCAAACTTTCAGTAGCGACTTTTTACACTTTTAGTGTCAACAAGTTCGACTTTCAGCGGCGACTTCAATTGTTGCCGCAAAAAGCCATACTTTCAGTGGTGACTAAAAGTCTAAGCATCCCTAATTTTAAATCCTTGACATTTCGGGGAGGATTGATTCATCTTCTCTGATCTGGTAGGATAGGAGTCATCAACATTTAATTCTACCTTCGGTCCTAATTTAGGACCGAAGGTAGTATATACTCTTTTCCATACATTTCGACCCATTATTATTTATCACTGATCGATATATGGTGATAATTTAGTTACTGTATTTCTATTGCTATCCGGTTAAAGTCCTTGAGATTACATCTGAATGTTCACATATTGTCGTAGAGCTTCCTCCGTGCTTCTGGCGGCAGAAAAGCATGACTATCGATTTTCTCGTGAGGTGCATTTTGGTTCATTGGCATAGAAATTGTCAAACAAGGTCGATGATTACAAACTTAAATGGATCTATAAACTATAATACCTTTTCGTTCAATCCTTTTGAAGTTCACCGATATGCAATGTGCCACATCAGACAATTTCTGGAAATACGTTTATAATCGTAGGTCATGTGCTATACTTTGAAGTTGGTATACTACGAGATCCTCTTCTAAAATAAAAAATAAGAAGTAAAAAAACGAGTATTAATTGCTGATCAAACAAACAAACGGAAGGAGGATAACAAATATAATATCTCGTTGATAGATAGAGAAAAGATAAAGATATTAGGGTAAAATATTGAATAGGCCAAGACCCATTGAATGTGCTCTGGCCCTTGTATTATATATATCAATATGAATAAGGAATCCTGTACACAGCAGAGGAATATTACAAATAAACAAATGAGAGACCTACACGTGTAGACCTTACAGCTGTACAAGATAAGCTTGAACCTATATAGATAATATTTATATTAATGCTCTAACATTCCCCCTCAAACGAGAGGGTGTCTTTGACAGACCGAGTTTGTTCCTGAAGGTAAAGAATTGAGACTGAGATAAGGCTTTCGTTAGGCAATCTGCAACTTGATGAGAAGAGGGCACATATCGAACATCCAGAAAACCAGAGAGAACTAAATCTCTTATAAAATGAATATCAATTTCAATGTGTTTGCTCCTTGCATGATGAACTGGGTTTGCTGCAAGTGCTCTAGCACTAAGATTATCACACCATATTATTGAAGGTTGTTTGATTCTAAATCCGAGTTCACATAATAGTGAGCTCAACCATTTTATTTCAGCAGCACCATCAGCAAGCGCCCTATACTCTGATTCTGTGCTAGATCTAGACACAACTCGTTGCTTGCGAGAAGTCCATGAAACCAGTGTTCCTCCAAGATAAACACACACCCCAGCCATGGATTTTCGATCATCAACATCAGTGGCCCAGTCAGCATCAGTAAAAGCCATTAATTGAGGTGAAACAAGAGGCTTAATATTCAAGCTAAGATAATGGCTTCCTTTGAGATACCTAAGAATTCTCTTGACACCTTGGAAATGAACATCAGTAGGCTTTGACATAAATTGACTAAGTTTATTAACAGCAAAGGCTATGTCTGGACGTGTTGTGGTAAGATATTGCAAAGACCCAATAGCTTTTCTGTACAATGAGGGATCTTTCATAGGCTCTCCATCATCAAGAGAAAAATGACGTCCTGTAACCATTGGTGTACTCACAGGTGCACAGTCTAGCATACTAAACTTCTTTAATATATCTTGTATATATTTGCTCTGGTTCAAGTAAAAACCAGATTTATCCCTGTAAATTTCTAAACCAAGAAAATAATACAGAGGTCTAAGATCCTTTAATGAAAACATAGCATTCATTCTCCGAATAAATTGTTTCAAGTATGAAGAGTTATTCCCAGTCACAAGAATATCATCAACATAAATCAACACAAAAACTATGACAGAGTTCATGTGCAAGTAGAATAGGGAAATATCACTTTTAGCATTTTTGAAACCCCATTGATATAGAGTGTCTCTCAAACGATCAAACCATGCTCGAGGAGCTTGCTTTAGACCATAGATAGCTTTAACCAGTTTACACACATGATTCGGCCTTTGTGGATCAAGGAAGCCTTCTGGTTGGTGCATAAAAACATCCTCTCTAAGATAACCATTTAAGAAAGCATTGTTCACATCAAATTGTCTTACCTCCCAATTAAAAGTCGCTGCAATTGTGAGTACAACACGAATAGTTGTTGGTTTGATGACTGGACTGAATGTTTCTCCATAATCTATCCCCGGAGCTTGTTGAAATCCTTTTGCCACCAACCGAGCTTTATGCTTTAAGATTGATCCATCAGCTCTAAATTTTGTTTTGAACACCCATTTGCAGTCGACAAGTTTTTGAGAGCCATTACGAGGAACCAAGATCCACGTTTTATTTTTCTGCAAGGCAGTAAACTCATCTTTCATCGCTTGTAGCCAGTGAGGTGTCTGCAAAGCTTCTTTAACATTGAGTGGTTCGGATGCCCTAACAAGAGAACTTGGGTTTTCAGAATGAAGAAGTCCAATAAAAGGATGTTTGGGCTTGAATATTCCATCTTTGGACCGAGTAGTCATGTGATGTTGATTCCCTTGGACTTGTGGAGGTTGGATTTCATGGGCCGATAACTCTAATGAACTAGAGATAATAGGAGAATTCAATGGACCCACAGAACTGGCCGCTGAAGATGTATCTCTAGCATGGGACCCATTCTGTGCAGACTCGTTAATTATTGGAGAAGAGTCATCATGGGTCGCTTGAGGAGGGCACGGTGCAGGAGTCTCCACTGAAGAAGAAGATGAGTGTTTCTCTGGAACAGCAATTTGTAAAGGAATATCACCACCAGATTCAAGGATAGACAGTTTGCGATTCAAGAAACCTGTTACAAAAGGAAAAACTGATGGGTCAAACACAACATGTCTGGAAACATATATTCGACCAGTGGCACTTAGACATTTGAAACCTTTGTGTTGAGCTGCAGGTCCAAGATAAACACACTTTTGACTATGAAATTGGAACTTATGATTATTATAAGGCTTTAGGCATGGGTAGCAAGCACAGCCAAAAGGTTGAATGCTGTGATAATCTGGTTCTGTTTTATATAGTTGAAACAGAGGTGTTATACCATCTAGCACAGGAGTTGGAAGACGATTTATCAAAAATACAGCAACCTGAAATGCATCAACCCAGTAAGTGAGAGGCATCCTTGCTTGAGCTAATAATGTTAGACCCATTTCCACAATATGCCTGTGTTTCCTTTCTGCTCTGCCATTTTGTGGTGATGAATATGGACAAGTATATCTCAAATTAATGCCAGCAGCTTGAGCTATAGGAATAAAAGGCTTAAATTCAGATCCATTATCACACTGGAGTTCTTTGATTTTGGCATTGA